CATTTAAGGCTTCATCAATGATTTTTAACTTCTATTTTAGAAACAAAAACCAAATTATTGCATGCTTCTTTGAGAGAGTATCTAGTAGTTACCTTTTAATAAAAGAGTTCAAGGAAAAGGAAATAATTAGGAATAACTACCTTTAAAAGTTCTTGATAATAACTAAAATGAAACTAACATAATAAAACTCTAAGTATGAAATTAAGGTTCTAAAAGATGAATATAAGCAAGAAAACATGAACTATAATCCCCAAGCATCGATATCACACTAATCAAAGAAATCCCATCAAACATAAATTGAAGCCTAAGATTCATCTCTCACAAGCTCAAACTCATCTACCTGGTCAATTCCTACAAATGACGTTTAGCCCAAACAAGGAAAACAACAATACAAGAGGAGTGAGAATATATCTCACACCAATATGGACACATACATGAAATATGAGTAGTACCTACACACATAATCACTTCCTATATTAACATAGTTCATTCTTATCTCAATCTCAATTCTTAAGATTTCACTTCACAAGATAGATAGGACTCATGTTCTTAATTCTATATGTATGTGATACCTTTCTCAAAATCGCATTAGGCACTTAAAGTTAAAATAGTCTAGGAGTACATGGACAAAACACAAGGCCACCAAACAAGAGGCACCTATCTCAACATGGTCCAATCTTATTAGAATGAATTTTATTAGGAGTTATTGGGGTATCACAATTGCATGTGGTCACTTCCCTCCGTTGTTAGAAGTTCTTTACCATAACACCCCTGGAGTCAAGATAGACAACCATAGAGATTCTCCCACATAGAAACACATCTACCTCTTAACAAACTATGTATGTATGTATGGACTCTAATCATATCACACAAAAATGCAATAGCATCACACTATTAGACTTGTGTCTGGACATCTCAAATGACCAAACTTTACTTGGATTTCTCGTTGCCAAGCCTCTACTTGTACTTTTTCACATCATGCATCAATGTTGTCTCATATCTCATCATTCTCAAATGTCTCAAATGTTGCACACAAGATTCTCAAGTTAAAAAGCAATATCTCATCTCATACATCACATATGTCTCAACCATAACAACATCCTTTAAACTCCTATTTGTTCATAATTATCATCATCTCTTCTTCTCTAATTACATAACCATAATTCTTACTCACTCTTTTCTTTTCCTTAATTAGCCTAAGCACTTCTCAAAATAAACACTTAAGGATCAAATCACTCTCTATCGCAACTCAAACTTTTGACATTGCGCCAAGAGAGGCATTTCTCGCACTAAAGAGGTCATTGTCACATTCTCACCTGGTGTGACTGAATCCACACTTAAAGAGACGACTTGCAGAAACCAATGTCAAATGGAATCCAATAAGACATTATCCTCGCCTAGCATTGAGGTCTCAAGGACCTATTTATGGCTCTCGCACCTGGCGTGACACTTCCCACGCCCAGTGTGAAGAGGATAGAACCTTTATGCCCTCATTATGCTTAGCACCATGAACATGCACCTAGCATGATCACGAAATTCGCACTTCACAAAATCACAATTTAGGGTTCTACGACCCCTTTAATCTTATCTCAACACTTATTATCTCAATTTATTCGATCAATTACTCTTAGGGGGTGTATTGGTTAAGGATTTCATAGGATTTTAAAAGACTTTTTTTGAGTAAAAAAGTTCGTTGATATTCGATCAGGATTTTATGTCACTTAAAAACAATCCAGTGGTATTCAATTAGGATTTTCAAGATTTTTTAAAGAGTCCATTAAAATCCATTGGTATTCATTTGATACTTTTTACAACTTAAAAATAATCCATTGGTATTCAAAAATATAGGGATTTTAAAGGATTGTTGTATTAGAGGGATTTTGAAGGACTTTTTAATGGTATCTATAAATACCAAATTCATAAAACAATCCCATCCAAACCCATAAGATTTTGGAGGATTGTTTAAAGTGACTTTTCAAGTGCTTCAAGAATTTCCAAGTGATTTTGTCATCTTTTTTTTTCTTCTATGCTCATGCCTTCTCCATTTTTTTTCTCTTGTTAATAATACTGCACTACTGCTCATATGTAATACTGTACTACTGTTCTCATTCCATTCTCCTATTTGGTGAAACTTCTTGCTCTATTTTTCTCTCTATTCTCTTTAATTGACTTGCTTTATTTTTCTCTATTTATTAGTTGAGATTGTTCCTCAGTTATATAATGCAGAAAATGCTTAAAATTTCAACTTTTAAGTAGTAATTTTTTTATAACACGCGTCAAGAAAAGGAAAAGGTGAAAGCTAAAATTGATATCATGATCTCTATAATCAACTATAGATCTTCAAGACCTTGTAATCAATTTAGATTTATTAGAAATATATATATATATATATATAAGATGAATTTGAGTTAGGGTTTATGTGAGTAGAATGAGATAAGAATGGATCTTAGTTGAGGGAAGAACCCTCTCAGTACAAAAACGGCGTATAAAACTTCATATCAATAATTTCTTTCACAAATCTCTTTTAAGAAATAATTTGAACTATTCTTTAATGCTTTTGTTAAGTCTTTTGAAAACAAATTTACTTACTTTCAAAAGATTTAAAATAAGATGAAATAACCTATTATCATTATTACCACAATTTTCAAACCTTGGAATTTACCAAAGGTTAAAACAATATGAATAGTTTGAATGGCACTTACTTCTATGTCATTGATTACTATACTCCTTCTATTTTTTTTTATTTGTCAGATTTTTAATAAAATTTTATTTTTATTTATTTAAATTATTTTCAAATTTTAAGATAACATTAATTATTATGTTATTAATCGTACTCTTATATCTTACATTCTCATCTAACTTTTAATTAATTTACACATAACAACTAATATGCATTTATTACTAGTGAAAAATAAGGCTATTACGTCACTTCTTTTATGCCAGAGATACCAAAATACGACGTAAAAAAGATGCGGTGACATTTTTGTAATTAATAGTAGACTCTTTTATGTCGAACTCTACCAAGTTCGACGTAAATTATACAATCTACGCCAGACTTCTATTGTGTCCAACGTAGATTGTATAATTTACATCGAACCATATACCAAGTCTGACGTAAATAAGAGTATTTATATCCCAACCTTTTCATTCTCTTCCCGCGCGCGCCTTAGTTGATTTGTCAACAAAGAGTAAAGAATCTGAGTTTCTCACCTGGACGTTCTCTTTTGAACACCTTAGTTCTCTTATGCACCTCAGTTTTGCATTGGGTCTGCACGTTTGAGGTTAGTTTCAAAAATCCTGACTTGCATTAGCTAATTTGTTCATTTTTCATCTAGAACCACTAGTAGAAAAAAAAGCTTTTAAAATCGGTTATTTTTAACTTTTAAAATCGGTTATGTAACCGATTTTAAAAGAGCCGATTTTAAAAGTTAGACTTTTAAAATCGGTTAAATAACCAATTTTAAAAGTTAACTTTTAAGATCGGTTGTCTTATAACCGATCTTAAAAGTTCTAGTCAAGAAAAAAAATTAAACTGGAATGGGCCGTTCCAAAACTGGAACGGGTCGTTCCAAATTGTGAAAAAAGACTATTTGAAGAACGGAATCAGAACGGCCCGTTCTCCTTTCAGTACGGGCCGTTCTCCTTTCAGAACAGGCCGTTTCAACTTCGAAATTTAGCCAAAATGAACCTACAACGAAAATAGAAACAAGAGAAGCGCATGAGAAAACGAAAAGAGACATAAGAAGAGGAAAACGAAAACGAAAACGACAACGAAATTTACCTCTTTAGAAAATGAGAGCGCGAGAGAGTAAAAAACGAATGGAGGGAAAGATTAAAGAGAATGAGATTGGAGGGAAATATAAAAGGTTTCTGACGATACTTTTAAAATCGGTTATTTAAGAACTGATTTTAAAAGTAACACTTTTAAAATCGGTTATAAAATTACCGATCTTAAAAGTACTTTTAAGATCGGTTATTTTATAACGGATCTTAAAAGTTATGGTTGATACAACTTTTAAGATCGGTTCTTTTGTAACCGATCTTAAAAGTTGTGTCAGACATACCTTTTAAGATCGATCATAAAATAACCGATCTTAAAAGTACTTTTAAGATCGGTTAAATTTTAACCGATCTTAAAAGTGTTCATATTATTTACAAAATTGTCACCGCGTCACTTTTAAGATCGATTACCTTATAACCGATCTTAAAACTCTGATTTTAAATCCAATTTTTACACCAGTGAACGGCTCATTCTGTAACCAGAACGGCTCGTTCTACTTGCAGTTATTGTTTGTTAATTTTTCACATAAAATGCTTGAAAAATTAAATAAATGAGGTGAGAAAAGTGGGAAAAATTAATGAACTATGAAAATGAATAGGAAAATGAGTAAAACCAATAATGCAAATAGCCTGGATATTGGAAAAATGAACAAGAAAAAGTAATTCAAATTAGTGAAAAAGCTATGCATTCAGGAAAGAAAAAATGAAAATGGTTACAGAAAAGATATCATTTAACTTGGCAGAAAATACGTGTGAAAAGAAAATTTAAACATGCAAATGAAAATTGAAAATAAAAAATTGCCGACTTCAGTCAAAGTTCACCTGTCTTGTTTCTCATCAAACCTTGATTATGGTGATTATATGTGGGTCCTCAATTTCGGTGCCATTTTTTATTTATGTAGACTATCCTTTCTTTAATTACCACTGTATGGTCATAAAATTCCGACAAATTCCCCATTGCAAGCTAAGGTTTGATTTATTTATTGTACGTTTAATACATAAATCTTGAACTCTGCAGTTATTTGAGGTCTAAAATAATTACATAGCCAATGTGTTTAGAGTTGAAACACTGAATTATACAATGTTCATACTTTTTATTATATAAGAAATCAACTAATACGCATAAATAAAATAAAATAAAAAATCCTAGTTTCTTCTTGGAGTTTATTATGTTCCTGGTGAGGTGAGGCTGACAACTTCTCTGAATTTCAGGTTGTACTATCGAAGTCAAAACTGTTTGCTTCAGTATATAAAGAAGCCAGACTCATATGGTGATGATAAGAAGAAAACACATTGATGCTAAAAGGAAAGAATACACGCTATGGAAGTTGACCAGAATGAAGAAATTAATGGCAACAAGGTGATTAATTTTCTTTATTCAGTACCTTTTGAGTGTTCTACTTTCTTTTTTGAAGAGATTTTTGGCATTTTAGAAATTTAATTACCCATCCCTTTAATATTCATTTTGGTCTTCTTGACGTGTAATTAGCAGTTTCAAGTTTTCCCTTAGAACTGTTTAATTACTTTTACAGTTTTATTTTATTCCATTATGTTGTAGAAGTCAATGATACATATAGAATTTTGGGATGGTGCATGCATGCTATCTTTAGTTCATAAAAGTGGATATCCATGAATGTTAACCTTAATAATTAATCGAAAGGAAAATGATATATTTAATTGGGAGATACTTCCCCATTTTTTTCATTTGACAAGGACTGGTCTAATTTGCTATGGTTGAGTCAATCATATCATGCTTCTGATGAATATGTATTAATTAAAGGCCATATGCGAGTTCTCAAAATCAAATGAGTACTCAAGAAGATTATTGAACATAAAAATTAATTATGAAGAGCTATAGTTTGAGTTGTCAAGTGTCTTGATTTGGGTGAGGAAATTTATTCAGTAATTTCTAGTGGTCTATTGCATGTAGTGTTTTAAACATTGGATCAGAATGGTCGATCAGATCATTTGAATCGAAAATTGGTGATTTAGCGGTTTCAAATTTTGAGTTGGATCGGTTACGTAATCGGCCTGTTTCAAATTGAAGTGAACTAATCAATTTTTTGGTTCAATCAGTGAATCAGTGAATCAAACTGATTGAACCCAAAAAAAAATTTAAATAATTTTTTTTTATGTATTTCTTTATACAAAATAAAAATAAAAATAATTTTAAATAAGAAAATTAAAATTTAAGATAAAATATGAATTTATTGAAATTTATATGTATAAAATATACTTAACATGAATATTATTTTAAAAAAATTAATAAAAATTGGATTATACTGTTTAATTAGTGACCTATTAATTCAACATTTGACTCAATAATCTAATATCCTAACCAATTTGATGACCGACCTAGTTTTTAAAACATTGATTGCATGTTTATTACCGAGTTCCAGATTTTGCAAGTGTTCGATGTTAGCGAATTTAGGGTAAAAAAAATTACACTTTACTCTTTTTTATAATCACATAAAAAAATTAATAAGAAAACGGCAACGATTATCAAAAATATATTCCATGCATCTTATTAAATTTTCTTCTTCCGCGCACTGGTATTTAAATCCTCTTGTTGTTTTTTTGTTTGTTTAATTCATATTTATTTATCATAATTTTAATCGTCCTTACAACATTTTTAATATAGTAATAAAAAGCTTTATGTTAAAATATATAAATTATAAAAAATAAAGTGTCATTTATCCTAATTTAAATCATGGCTTTAAATTGCAATTCAGTTACAAGGTTTGCAATATTACGACTATAAGGGCATCCTTATCAGAGTTTGTTTCAATGTTTTTAAGTGGCCCTACATTTGTCAACTCAGTCATTTTCACATTTTACTTTTCCAATCTAGGCAACTTATAAGTATTTATCTCTTTTATCTCAACATTTCAATAAAAAAGTTTAAATGGATCCAACCAATAATTTCATATCTTCATATAATATTTATAATTTTAAATATAATATTACATAATTTAATGGATGAATTGATTCATTTTGTATAGCACAAAAAATTATTAAATATATAAAATTTGATATAAAATTTTAAACTTATATGGTATCAACAGTTACAGATCTTAACTTTTATTAATAATTTACTTTCAAGGTATAATTATCTTATTTTTGAAAAGAGATTTATCTGTTTTGATTTTTCGTAAAATATTTTTTTATTAGAACATATAAATAAAATAAATAAAAACCAATTTTCATGTATTAAAAGATACATTAAAATAATTGAAGTACATAATAAATGAAGATTTCATAATAAAAGTTACATAGTTAAAACATCGTTTGATTTTTGTTATGATTACTTTCAAAATGTTCTAAGAAATGGTCCACAAAGTCTCCTTAAAGTTGATGATAATTTGGCATGAAATTGAAAAGGGGTCCATAATAATTGAATTGGATTTGATTCCAGTGGTAAAAAAGCAACAATAAAAGATTAGGTGGAGAATTTTAACAATAAAAAGTTAGGTGGAGAATTTTAACAATGTATGGGAGTAAATTTTTTTAGAAGCAGTACTCATAAGAGGATAAATAAGAAAGAAAAATAAAATAATTTTTTTACAAGTTAAAATTAGTTTAAACATAAATTAATTTACAGAAACTCTCTTATATTATCTTTTCTAAAATTCTATTTTTAACTTATGTATAAATTAGTTTTAATTTTAAAAAATTATTTAAATTTAATTTTATATTTTTTACTTTTATAAATATTTATGGAGACATTTATTCAAAAACGAAGTTACTCAAAGTGTATAATTTTGATTGTACAACGTTTTTACTATAGCTGCCAAAATGGGCCAGCCCGACCCATGTGGGTCGGCCCACCTTGACCTACTTTAAAAACGAGCCAACCTACCTGGCCTGTTTTTAATTTTCTCAAAATAAATTTGGCCCGGCTCGGCCCACCACGGGCTGGTGGGTTACACGGGTCAGCCCACCAGCCCACCAGCCCACCAAAAATTAAAAAAAAAATTATCAACAAAATTTAAAATTTAAAATTAATTATAAATTAACATAATAGTCATAAAATTAGCATCATTAATAGTCATAAGTCATAACTCATCATATAAAATAAAATACAAATCATGATAAAAATTTAAAATAAAATTTTTTAATATTCCATCATACAAAACTAACTACAAATCATACTTAAATTTTTATTGCAAAAAAAAATGGTGGGTTGGTGGGCAACCCGGCCCACCACGGGTTTAGCCCGAGTGGACCGGGTCAAAGTGAGTCGGGTTAAGATATACCCACATACTATAAAACTTTAATATTTTTTGCCCGGCCCGACCCATTTTCAAAGTAGGCCGGATTAGCCTAGGGTCCTGGCCCACTTTCACGGCTCTAGTTTTTACTAACTAGCGAAGTTTACACACTATTTGGAACTTTAGACCAGTACAATGCATTTTTTTTTTTAATTAAGGGCACAAGCATCGGTGCTAAAAGCAATTAAGCACCTTCCCGATAAAGATTCTCTAATATAACTATATTTTTCATTTTTTTTCATAATTATTTTAAATATTTTATATATTAATTTAAATTAATAAAATAAAGTAATAAATAATCAAATTTTGTAAAAATTTATAAATTGACTTATGTATTAAGAATTTTAAATTTAATATTTAAATTATTAAAATTTAATGTAAATAATGAGTTATTCAACAAAATATGTTTAGATAATTTTTTTTTTGAAATAAATCGATGCTTCATATATATATATATATATATGCACTAATCGTGATTCATATATTGAGCCATGAATTTCTAGCTGAAAAAGGTCAGAGTCAATGTACTGAATTCCTACACAATCCCACGTGAAAAACGAAAATGCTATAGCCTTTACAAGTTCAATGATTATACTTAGACACAAATAATCTGTCATTAATCAGTGAAATTCATAATTCTTTTTGTATGTGTACACAAAGAAAAATGCTATATCCTCCCATTGTACAACTAATACTTGAATAGATAAAGAAAAAAACATTGGAAAGGTGGAATATTTTAGAACTTTGTAAAACCTAAAATTTTGTGGGTATTTTTCATTTTTATTTTTTTTTACGAATAAGTTATCTTAGCTAATTTTGATGTGTATGTTTAACATTGTAAACGATTGGAGAAACTCTTAAATATTACAAGGACATATTATAATACTATTTAATAATCTTCATTTTGCTTTTTTTAGGATGGTATCCCATGGCCGTTAATAATCTTCATTCCTTTACATATAGAAAAATCAATAACCTTCATTTAACATATAGTGAAGATTTTTTATTTCTAATTATGTGAATTAATAATACTTAATTGTGTCTCACAAACTCACATGAATATTAGTAAAAATCATAAAGCACTTAATAATTTCAAGAAAGATTTAAGTATATGTTTACATTGACTATATAGCAAAGGATCCCGAATTCAATTATTACAATTTACAATCACTTCCGTGAACTTGAGTCAGTTCACTAGCTGGTGACAAATCATGACAACTAAAGTATAAACAATGACACAAGAATGACCATTGTCGAAAACGAGTGGATCCACAATAATAATGTCCACAATTTTAATTTCAACTTTCAACGATAACGTAATCCATTGCATCATGAATTTCCATCATGTGTATATTTAAGTTTCAATTCCTAGCTAGTTCTCCTACCAATAACAAATACTCTGAATTTTTCAAAAGTGACTTGCTAATAACTTGGTCTTTGTGTCTTTGATCTGTTATGATATGCAGGATCATAAGCGTAAATGGGAAATGGGAGAGGTTGGAGAAGGAAACGATAGCTTGAAACTTTCATTGGCAAGGCATGTAAAGGATACAAGTAGTGATGAAGAAATTGGACTTGTCTCACTTTCTCTTGGAATTTCATCCACAAGCCAACATGAGATGAAAAATAGCAATATTAATAGAAGTGCAAAGATCAGACAAATTGAGGGTTTGAAAGAAGGACCTGCATTAGGATTAGATATCAGAGTTGACCCTTCAGCAGTAAAAAGTCCAAGCACTGAAAGTAGCTGTTATGGGGAAAGGAAGGAAGAGGAACTTAGAGAGATATGGCCACCCAATAAAGTTCTCAAGACAATAATAACTGGGGATAAAAGTGAAACTTCTCAACATGCTCTACTCAAGAAGGCTAGGGTTTGTATTAGAGCCAAATGTGATACCCTTACGGTTAGTATAAACTTACTATATACCGAACATATATTGATATATAATATTGGAATGTATTAGTGGAGAAAGTGTTTAAAAATAATAAAGATTAGAATTCTTTTTTTTTTTTTTGGAAGATGAGGTTATTTGTATAATTAATCACTTCTTAATTTAGTTTGATATAAAGTTTGAGATATAATTCCTATTTTTACAAGTAACTTTTCATAAATTAATGGTTTAAATTTTATCAACACAGCCTTAATTTAATAGTTGTAAATAATTTTCTAAAATATTCTTCAAATATGTAAACTTATTAACATATTCTAGAAAATTCTATATGTTACTTTATAAATATTTTCTAAAGAGATTTTTCTGCTTCAATATTTTGATCTCAACGCATTTTTAGAAATTAAACTTTTATTCAGACAAATAAGATACAATCGAGTTTATCTTTTAATTTATAATACTTCCTTGATAATATATATTTAATTTAACTTTCTTCCTTCTTTCAATGACATTTCCTATAATAAGTTCCGAATTGAATGAACCCAAAAGCTATAATTTAAATCAATCATTGATTTAAATTACATCTGCAACTATGTAATTGAGGTCGCAAATATATGGTTTTAAATTACATCAAATGCAAGAATCAGTAATTCTTTACAATTTTGTTTATTGTAACATAACCACTGTAAATTTATAACTAAGAAATCAATATAAGAGAAAATAGAAGGATAAATAATCAAGGTGTAATTTGGTAATAATTGCATAAATATTCTAAAAAACTTTACCTAAATTTGTTCCTTTATATCATCATTTTATAAATTTCAATATTGTTGCTTTTCCTTTTCTGTTTTTTAATAATTCTTTCGGAGATGATACTTCGAACTTGATTATTGAACTTCTATACAGATGAATGATGGATGCCAGTGGAGAAAATATGGACAGAAAATGGCGAAAGGAAATCCGTGTCCCAGAGCATACTATCGATGCACCTTCACTCCATCTTGTCCAGTGAGAAAACAGGTATATATATAGAATTTTTCAGTGGATTATATTGTCTTATGTGACAACAAAAGAGAATAGCTCAAATAAAAGGAGAGGAATGAAATGGCTGCATATATGTTATTACTAGCATTACCAAATTTCATTAATTTTCTTTCGCTCCATTTTTTTAATTTGTTTCTCAAACAGTGGCTGAATAGATTCCCAATATATGTTTGATTAATTTCCTGTTTTCAAGTTAATTTTCAAAATTCTAATTTTAAAAAATGGGATAGGTAGTGTTATTAAGGTTGAATTAATAATATTATTATTTATATAAACAAATTCTCTCTTTCCTATTATGGTTTTATGATTAAGCAATCGAAATTGAAAAATCAAAAAATTATAATAGCGAAGTTTTTACGCACATAATTCCATATTTTTAAGATGGTTACTTTAAACTTAAGTCTTTGTAATTTTGTTTCCAATAATCATGTAAAAAGTCTATTATTATCTGAGATAATCCTTCAAATGACATAGGAATTTGGTTTTGTCTCAACAATTTTCTTGAAATTTTTCAGGTTCAAAGATGTGCCGAAGACATGTCAATCTTGATTACTACCTATGAAGGAACCCACAACCACCCTCTTCCTACTTCAGCCACAGCCATAGCCCACACAACTTCTGCAGCTGCTTCCATGCTTCAGTGTCACTCGCAATTAGGACTAGTCAATTCAGATTCAGTCCCCCTCATCAATTCTAGTGTTCCTTATAACCTCAATGCACTAAACTTCACAACATCAAGCTATCAACACTTTTCAAGATCACAACAATTATATTTCCCCCACTCACCATACATTTCAACCTCTAATTCTCACCCCACCATCACTTTTGATCTCACCACTCCTCAAACTTCACCTCATACACCCTTCTCTTTCATACCAAAATATTCATCAACACATCTTAATTCTTCCTCAAGTACTTTCTCTCCTTTGGAATCTAATATACCACAGTCACCTTATTTGAGTCCTTATAGTGGTTACTTCAATTATGAGGGATTGATCTCACAACATAAGAAACAACATGGTTCCATTATGAACACTGGAAAACAACCATTTCAAGAGCATATCTGTCAACCTAATTACATTATTAATCAACAACCTTTACCTGATTCTATTGTAGCTGCAACCAAGGCAATCAAGTCTACCCCAAAATTTCAATCTACTTTAGCAACTGCTCTCACAGCGTATGTTGGTAATGGGGTAAGAGGAAATCATGTTGGGGCCCAGAGTACACTTTTGGACTTAAACCTTGGTGGAGATACGTTTTACTCAACGAACACAGTTTACACTTCTAATGCATCAAGGTACAGGAGAATATCATCTTCTACTCCTAATGCTCCAAAAGGAAACTCGGTCATTTTTCAACCATCACAAGCATCTGAAAGTTCCTTTGGATTGTCGTCTAATAAAGTAAACCATTCTTAGACCAATAGAAGTGACATAATGTACACATTACACCATTATTCAATTCTATCTCAAATGACAGCTTCACAAAATTATAACCGAGAGGCTTTATAGTTGTTCAAAAGTTGTTTTTGAGCTGAAAGCAATGACAAGGATGGTTGTTATTTGTTTTGCAAAGTTTCATAAAGAATGTTGCTGTTGGTAGTAAATTACAAGCGGATATATATATATATATATATGGAACATATCAAGTGAGAGAGAATTTATTATGAGGTGAAGTTTCTGATGGGGAAGTTTAGGAAGTGGTCCATCCGTGCTGCATGTTTAGGATTTAGGATGACCTTAGATATAATATAAAAAAAAATGAATAGTTGAGATTAGTGATAGTATATTATACACCTTCACACACTGGATCAAAAATTTCGAATTTTTTACTGAAATAAATTTTTTTTTCAACTTCGCAAAAACAAACACGTGTTACGACGTATGGATTTAGCTGCTTTTCAGTTTCGGAACGGGCCATTCTGAAATCAGAACGGACCGTTCCAAATGAAAAATATACACATGAATATTGGATCAAAACGGGCCGTTCCAGATGAAAAACAAACACATGACCAAAAGGAGTAGAACGGCCTGTTCCGAAATCAAAACGGGCCGTTCCGAAATCAAAAATAACACATAAGTAATTAAACCAGAACGGGCCGTTCTAACTACAAATTTGTCATACGAGTTTTTTTAAGCAAAATAATATTTTTTTCATTCTACTAAATTACATCTAAACCCTAAACCCTAAACCCAAAAAGTCTTATACTAAGGCCCATAATATAAGACCAAACACTATAAACTCCTATACTATCAAAAATATGAGAAAGGTGGTCATCCATAAAGTTCAAAACTAGGCCCAATAAACTTAAAACTCAAAAAGTCTTATATTAAGGCTTATAATACAAGACCAAACAATATAAATTCATATACTACCAAATATATGAGAAAGATGGTCATCCATGTAAAGCCCAAGTAAAGAGAACCTTAGGCCCACCAAATTCATTGGGCTCACTAAGCTCAGAAGCAAAAAAAAGCCCAAAGGCCCATGAAGTTCAAAACTAGGCCCAATAAACTTAAAACTCAAAAAGTCTTATATTAAGGCTTATAATACAAGACCAAACAATATAAACTCCTATAATACCAAATATATGAGAAAGGTGATCATTCATGTAAAGCCAAAGTAAAGAGAACCTTAGGCCCACCAAATAATATGAGAAAAATAAACTTTGTGATGCATGACAATAGAGGAATCAATTCATGTTATATTTGATGAAACTAACCTTGTTTGTCCAAGAAAAGATATTATTGATGATATTGTAGAAAACTTTAAAGACACTCATATTCATGAACAAACTCAAAAGGACAAAGAAGATGAAGGAATGGAGGATTCTATAATTCAAGAGAATCAAACAAACATGATTCCTCAAAGAGAGTTGAAAATCTCAAGAAATCATCCTCTTGAAAATATCATTGGAGACATATAAAAAAAGGTAACTACTAGATACTCTCTCAAAGAAGCATGCAATAATTTGGTTTTTGTTTCTAAAATAGAAGTTAAAAATCATTGATGAAGCCTTAAATGATGAACATTGGATAAATGCTATGCAAGAAGAGTTAAATCAATTTGAGA